TTATCTTTTTAACAGTATTGGAGACCAATTGTTTTTCCTTTCTGTTTAAGGAGATTCTTACTATTTCTCATGGATGACTCCTTCTTTGTGTCAGCTTCTGCTTGACACCTTCAGTGAAAATTCACTATCACAGTTAATACTCGGTCTCTCTTGCAGTTGTTTTTGAAAAGACACTAACATTTAGCAACTCCTACATCTGGATGCTAGCACAATTATGTTTAAGTTGAAATTCTGTTTTGTCCTGTGGGTTAACTGCATTGATTTTTACTTTAAGTTTAGCAAATGCTATGGATGTCTTCTCTGTCCTCGTGCATCTTCCTTCTGGAATTTTCTAGCTGCCCAAGGAGAGAAACTGTTCTCACCATGGTACCACTGCTTGAGTTATGGAGGCAAATAGTTCTGACTTCAGAGTATGTCACTTAGTGACACAAGTGAATTTTCACTTGCCAGCTATATTTTGATAACTTTTTACCACATGCAGACAAATTCTTGCTGCCTTCTCAGCCCATACTAAGACTTTACTTACTTAGTTCAATATCTTACATTATTAATTTCACTTTCACTCCTTCACCTTCACTCTCCCATTCAAGATCCTTTTTCTCAGTTTGTATTCAAAACTATTTTGGAAACACATGCAAATACTTCACATGGAGGTCTCCATATCTGTTCTGAAGACCTTGAGAACAAAATAACAATTGCAGGAAGGAGCAGCACAAATACACAATGTACAAAATTCATTATGAAAACTTAAGACTGCCTGTCCCAGACTCACCTGCGAACAGGCTGTGCAAGTTTGCTACGAGGCACTGGTATGCCCCCTGTGGAAGGGGCACTGGGTCTGGGCAAACCACTCCTCATCCCTGCCGGTCTGGTAAGAGTAGTACTGTTAATACTGCTGGCAGGGCTTGGCAAGCCTGAGCTCTGGGCTGCAAGAGGCCCTGGTGAAGAACTACTGTGCGTCAGCTGTGTGACTTCTGGAGAGGCAACTGAACCAGGTCCATGGTTACTAAATGCTTTCACTGGTTGTCGCAGAGCCAGGGGAGATGGTGCCGCAGGTGAGCGGAATTTACTTGAAGAAGGTACTGGAAAATAAAATACAGAAATTACTTTCAGCTTAAATTACAATATAACTGAAATTAAAAACTGGAAATTACTTTATGTGATTATACAAACAATATGGAATGTATAATGGAATACAGCCAATCAAGCAGCAATGAGAAACAGGAATTCAGATTTCTTCTTTGTCATGTGTTTTTGATATAACTCTAATGCCCCGTTTGCTTACTACAAATATTTATTTATCCGGATTTGTAATCCTAATAAGGCTATAACCGTTAATCAAATCAAAAGAAGTAGAAGAGAAGGTATTGGTTAAGAAGAAATTTAACTGCTTCAGAAACATGTGAACCTAACTTTCATCCTGAAAGAAGATGTTGAAGAATACAGTATTCTAGCGTGAGACAGTCTTTAAATGGATTCAAAGTGTACATTAGTCTTCAAAGATGAAATTGTGAGTGCAGAGCACCCTGATGTTTATTTATGCTGTTCTTTTTAACCACTGAATTAGAATTCATCTAAAGATATGGCCACATTCCACATTTTCTGGCAGATGGAGGAAAAAAAATTAGGGTCAGCTGTCCTGGTTTCAGCTGGGATAGAGTTAATGTTCATCCTAATAACTGGTATAGTGCTGTGCTTTGGATTAAGGATGACATTAGCCAACCCCAACACCAAAGAGGTTAAGGTGCTACTATGAAACTTAAACCAGACAACTGTAACAATTTATAGCCTTTCTCTTCTTACAAACATTATCTAAATTATCAGTATAACTAATACCTGTTTTCAAATACTTTGTATCTAAATTAGTATGCAAGGTCTTGATATCAAGTCGTTTCTGGGAAAGGTTAATAAGCCAGAATAGTCAACAGTCCTTTGATAATGCCAAAGCTTAAGCGTAATTCTTCACAAGTATGAGAAATATTTTCAAATTATATAGAATACTTAATTAACCCATAATCTTAATAATTGTATGAAATTTCACCAGCTTTTCAAACTGATTAAGGTTGGCCAGAGTCAACATTGGACAATCAAATCAATTATGGAGCTAAAACAAAATCCCATTTACATCTATTAGATTTGTATGAACTATTCTTTCCTCAACTAAATAAATGTTTTATACTGAGACCAAAGTTGCATCCTCTTTGACAGATGTTGTACATAAAGAAGCTGTTCCTTAACACAGCTTTTATTATCATTTTCAAGGTAGATCCACTAAGAACATGAGGAGTGAGAGAAGAGACAAGTAGTGACAGGAATGTGACATCCTAAATGGGGTACAGAGGAAGTAGTAATTTCCAGGTTGTATTTTGAAGCCATTTCTTATAAGGGATATCTAGGAAGATTAATATGTGCCTCATTACAGATGTTAATTGGATTTGATCACTTTCTCGATTATCCAAAAGGTCTTTCCACTGACCAAATACAGCACGAAGTTGCTCATGGGAAAAGCTGACAAAAGAAGGTGGCAGAGGGGTCAAAAATACATGACAGTTGCTAAGTAGCAAGGAGAATAAGTAAAAAACCTTAAAATAAAAGCCTTGGCATCAAGCCAGAGGATGGATTAAGGAAAGCATTAACAACAGAATGACCGGACAAGACTAGCAGCAAAGTGCTCCTAGGACTAAGATAAATTACATATTAGAAGTTTTTAAAACATGTCCTTGCCTGTAACATTGGTGCAATCACACCTGCAGAATTTCCAAGTGACTCTACAGTGTACATATAGGGAGCTTTTATCACTGAACTTCCTGTTACAATACTTGCTTGAAATACAAAACCAGCACCATGTTATTGACTACCAGCAGAGCGATGCCAGTGTATAAAAACTGAATACAGCTTTGGGCCTCTTACAGGCACATCAGGGAAAAGGTTTTTAGGTACAGAATATAAGCAACAAAAAGCTGTAACTGAAGAAAGCTTCACATTCCCAGTGAAAGTAAGCATCCAGTAAATTAGTCCTCTCCATTCTCTCTAGCTTTCTGCTGACCATATTCTACCATGCTGCCAACTTGAGCTGTCAATTCATAAAACATTTCCTGTCAGCACAGCACTGCAGACATTGCTGAGAGCTGCATTCATTCTTGTACATAAAGGAATGAATTGTCTTCCAGAGCAGTCCACATGATGCAGTCTGGCAAACTGCCTAGTAATTCTGTTCTACAGATAAAGAATTTTGTCTTAGAGCAGTTTTGGATATTCATTAAACTCAGTTTGGCCTGTTTGTAAGACAGGGTCACAAAGAGTGAGGTATCACCTCAGTCAAAGACTATTTGATAATCGTGTATCCATGTGCAGTATTGAGCTGATCCATGTTTAATAAAAACATGTAAACATGTTAAGGGTTGGGCTTAATAACTTCACCAAACTCCATCTCCTTAGAAACTAAACTAGAACCAACTACAACTAAAACATCTGGCAAGCAAAAAAAAAAAAGGCACTGTGCAGTCATGACATTTAGATTTCTACTCTCTCTGGATTCTGTCCTGGATTGTGGGCAGGGAGCACAAGATCTCCATGTGGGAAAGTAGAATGCTCTGAAGTTACAAACTTATGTGACTTGCACTCCAAGGCCAGCTGCCGCACACTGACTTGAAAACAGATTAAATTCTAACTCTTAATTCTAAATCACAACCACCATGATGAGATGATTCAGACCAACATGAAAGAACAGATGAGCTAAAACTATGGGAATCAATAGATTGATCTGTCATCTCAGTACAGGAAAGATGTGGACCTGATGGGATCAGGTACAGAAAATGGATGAGCACCTCTCCAATGAAGAAAGGCTGAGAGAGTTAGGGGTGTTCAGCCTGGAGAAGAGAAGGTTCTGGGGAGACCTTATTTTGGCCTTTCAGTACTTGAAGGGGACTTACAAGAAAGATGAGGACAGATTTTTTTAGCAGAGCCTGTAGAAATAGGATAAGGGGTACTAGTTTTAAACTAAAACACTATAGATTTACATATATATAAAGGAAGAAATTATTTTCTCTGAGGGTGCTGAGGCATGGGAACAGGTTGCCCAGAGAGGTGGTGGCTGCCCCATCCTTGGAAGTGTTCCAAGGCCAGGCTGGATAGGGCTTTGAACAACCTGGTCTGTTTGAAGACGTTCCTGCTCACTGAAGGTGGAGGTGGTTTGATTAGATGACCCAAACTGTTCTATGATTCTATGATCTGATTGATACTGGACTGCTGTATAAGCTTTAGCAAATACTGTGAGGTAAGAGTTAGTTATTTGAATGTATTTTGAATTCTTTTACACAAAGTGGTAAAAAAAAGCCAATGTCTGTGTGTGTGAAAGGTGTCAAGCTAGGTAATAAACAGTATTTTAAGAAACTAAAATCAATTGTTGCTCAGCTGTTCATTCTTCTGAGACAAAAGTCTTGCTTCATTACTGCTAAATAATTCTATACTCATGAGGATCTCAGATAAAAGAAAGAAAATCAATACATCAAGGACTACAAAACAGCAAATAACTGAAAGGGCAGAAAGGAATTAACTGAAAGGGTCCTCATGTGCAGTAAGGAATGACAGCAGCTATTAATTGGAATACATAACTGGCAGTGCAGCATGCTCTGTTCCTCATTCTCTAAGGTTAATAAATTTTTACAAATAGTTAATTTTCTGTACATTCCCACAGCTTCAGACTAGACCATTGACCTAATGAGTGTTCCAGACATCCAGAAGAAGGCATGGCCAGCCAGAAAGAAAGCAAGACAGCTTTGCAGAGGAATCGAGATGGTGGGCTTATGCCAAAGGAGAACACTGTGAGAACTTTTCTTTATTTGGTATGAAGTATTAGGAAAACTGTAGAGACTTCCTATTAAGCCATATGAATCTGCTTCACAGTCGTACTTCGCTAAAAGTTTCTGCATGGAATGAAGGTGTCTCAGAGAAGTCAGCATTGTTACACCACTCGGTGGTGTAACACCGACATTCTGTCATGTACATTCTGTCAGTCACCCTCGTCTGCACAAATGATTCTTACAGTGCTTAAAGGATTCTAGCATCCACAGGGCTTATGAATTACTCTCAAGTGAAATATGATCCTTAAAATGAGATCATCTAAACTGTAACAGACAACACACCATGCTTAAAACCAAAATCAATTATTTTCTCTTAATTGTGAAACTGAGGCAGTGTCACATAAAAGGCTGCCAGAGTTGATTAAAAATCAGATAAAACTTGTCTAATTGGATTAGAGACTCAATATATTCAATTTTCTTTTCAAAAAAAAAAGGCAAGTTCAGCCATTAGGAAACTGGAATATTATATACAAAAGTCTCTAATTCCTTGAGAAAAAAAAAAAAGAAATCTAATTACTGTACCTTGGGGTTAACCTTCCAGTTTTGTGAGGAAAAGAGAAAGCAGAAGCACACACAAAACAAGTTGATATTTTGTGCTCATCTTTTCAAGGATAAACTTGTTAGGTTTTGGTTTTAGCACAAAGTATGTATATTTTTACCACTTTTGCTTTAAAAACTGTATTTTGCAATTAAAAAACTTCCTATCCAAATACAGGCCTAATGAATATGGATTTAGGAGTGTACTTTTCTACCACAGATTTCCTGATTAATGCTAGAAAGTCATAAATCCTTGGATTTTTACCTCAAAATACAATCTCCTATATGATGCAGAGTTTATTTTTAATATTTAGACCAAAAAGTTAACTTTCGTATAGCAAGGACCACTTGGTTAATCTCGACATGCAACAGCAATTTTATTAATCTAGAACATGTGAGATTTAATGCAGGTGAACAATTATCTGAGATTTGATGGAGCTTGATAAGAGGTTGTAAGTTAATTACCTCCTTTTGCAGATGGAGTTTGAAGAAACTGTTTGGTTTTGAAGGCAGCACGAGGCAAATTTTTCTGCCTTTGCAGAGCTGTTGAAAGACAAGAAGTGTTATATTTGTCTAAGAAGATAAGGAAACTAAATTTACTGGAAGTTTCAGAATTGCATCCACTTGTGAAGCATCAAGGAACAGAGTGAGTAAAACACTCAAAAAGCAGTTATGACTCTGGAAGTGATGGGGTTTTGTGAATGGTGCTTGCTCTTAATGACGAAGAGTTACAGAGGAGTGTGTCAGAAATTTTGCAGTGCAAAATGCGCAGATTCAGTAAGAGTAAAGCTTCTTGCAGGGCAAAAAGCCCAGAAATGCAAAAAAAAAAAAAAAATACACCAAAGGGAGAACAAGCCACCTAGCAAACATGCTACAGCAATATGAGTGCAAGATTAGAGACAAAGATGAAAATTAAACTGTCATATTTGACCTAGCAAGACTAAACTTTTCATTTTAATAGTGTTTTCAAAAAATATATTAACACTATACAAAGGCATAAATCTTTGTCTAATGTGATCATCATATAAACAAATTGTGTTTTCCAGTTATGGAGACATAAGCCAGATGTCTTTTTTCCCCTCTTCAAAAGGGTATGCAAGAGGACTCGAACTTAAAACGAAGACTTAACACTAAGAATTATCAGCTGCCAGCATGTACACAACATGACGGAAACTATTTTTTATTGCTTCTTTGCTCCTGTGTCCTGCCTTTTCTCTAGTAACGTTCAAGGGCTGGTATTGCCTTGAAATGACCTCACTACCTACCAGTTACCACGAGAGAAGCCAGCGTTGCAAGAGCTGCAGAGTCTTGGCATGGAGAGAATTACCTATTGCCAAAAGGAATGCATTGAGTCTGTATTTTCACCGCAGCATATTTAAGGGGGGAAGGAGGAAAGCGGTCAATGAAATAAAGCTCTGCCTTCAGACAGTCTTTGTAACATGATGTGTGAATAAACATCTCTGCTCACCTCAATGTATGGAGTTTTATACTAGCATAAAACTGATTGCACTAGCAAGGCTTATTTCCATAGTGAGAAGGAAAAAAGATGGGGGAACAGCTGTGCATAAAGATCCTGACCCTGAATAAGGAAGCTCAGTAATCCTATCACCAGTCAGTTGAATATCACTATAAAGAAGATAGGAGAACAATTAGAATCCTAATAACATTAGTTAATCCTTTTCTAAACTTAATAGCATATAATAATTGCCATCACCTTTCCTCCCCTTCAGTTAGTGCAAACTTCACAGTATTTTAAGAACTATAAAAGAAGTTCATCGTGTGTTTCAACATTGTGCTGAAAATATGACTAGGGGGTCTATTCAGTTCAGTCTTAATAATTAAAACTGTCATTTTCAACAAACAGCAAAAAGGAATTAAAGTGTTCATAAATACAGTAAAATGCTGCCTGTACATATTAAGAATAAAAACCTTATTCCTTCTACCAACTAGAATCTAATGCAAAATAGCATGTGGCAATATGCAATTCTTATTCAACTTCTGGCACAAGGTCTTCCAATAAACTTTTTTTAAGGTATACCCATCAACAGTAAGACCTTTAAAAATGAGCATAATTCCTAGAAATGTACTGAGACAGACCAGTGGCCAGAGTGTTTCAGTCCTCAAGTATTCCACTATACCACTTTTTACTGAATCAGTGTTTTTGTTTTACCACATAAAATGAAGAACAGCTTCTTCCTTCTTATTTTGAATTTGTTTTGCCCTAATTCACTCAGATTTAAATATGCTACCGCACATGGCACTTTCTTCCCCCATCATTATTCACACTTCTTGCAAGTAAGAGATGTGGGATGATATGGAAAGAATTTTAAATACATATATATCAAATTCCTTCCTTCTCAATGCAGACTCCATGAAATAGACACTCAATAACCAAACTTTTACTTCTGATCAACCGAATTAGAATAGTTAGTTTCCTCAAAACTTACTCTTCCTCCTTTTGCTCTGAACATGCCAAGCAGTTGGATCTTGGCAAGCAGACTGTCACTTTATTGATAGTTTGAACAATCTACAGCTCTTTGAGAAAGCATTGTATTTATCTCTGCTTAAAGATTTAAAATCCATGTGCTCACAGTGCCACTAAGTACAAAAGCGTCACACAATCCACTAGAAAGCAGGCAGCTCCTACATGGAAGCCATCCTACAAATTCTACAGCTTTGCACAATTTATGTAGTGCAGGACCCAAGTACAGAGACCTCCCATCATTAACACTTTAGACAATTCCTATTCCTCGGGGAGCACAACACAAGTATTACTGTATCTTCCAGGGTTTTAATGTGAAATATTTACTGACTTTCATATAAAAAAGTACTTTCTGCATAATGGCATGGAGAATCAGATGTAAATGAAGATTCTAATTGTTATAACTGTTATTTCATTCACTCAATCTCTTTTCAAGAACAATTTGGCTTGTTCACTGCATTGCACCTAAAACTTTAGATGTCAAATGTTTTCATGTTTTACAGTTGTACTCCTAAACATATTATACATGTCTTCCCTCTTCTCTGTAAGCAAGTGTGTTCAATTTGCCTATATAACCATAAGAGGAATTATCTTTTCAGAAACTTACTGGATTCCTAGCTCATTTTTGAATGCCAGCAACCATAGCAAGTTCAGTATTGCAGCCACAGCACATGTGCAAGTAAATTATGAACAGCAAATCCTTGACAAGGAGAAAAGTAGTGACTTCGGGTGGCAAGCCAGCGTCCTTGCAAAGGTAAGCTCATGCAAAACTAGCAGGTGTATGAGGAAGCTTGAAATCCCAAGACCCAGAAATCATTGCCAAGGGAAAACAAAAATTTGCTGCAATTTAACAGCGCTTTGTGCAAAGTGACAAAATACAAAACAAACAAAACAAAAAGTATACAATAAAAAGGACACAATTCTGGAAATTTTTATACAATGTACATTTTTGCAGAAAATTTTTTAATCCAGACTAAGCAAAGATACTTACTCATTGACTTCATACACAAACCGTTTTACGATTGTCAATAGCAAGACTGTGACAAACATCTGTAAGAGCAGGGAAACTGTAAAAGCTAGAAATCTGGCCTTTATTAATGATACTTAACTTACATTTAAATGTAAGTTGGTCTAGAGCGGTTCACATTTGGGGAAATATTCCATGAAAGGCAAGCAAATTTGCCTAATAATTTCTGTGATTCTTAATGCATCCACAAATTGGAAAAAAAAAAGAACATATAACCATAGTCACACCACTTTGGTTCCTACAATGAAGTAACTGACTAAATATTTACTATTGAGACTTCTGTTGTGTGATCTATCCATAGAGTTTCACCATGAATATACTTTTCATTCTGGAAATAGCCTTCTAGCTAACTAAGTTGCCCTCTGGGCTCTTCCCTTCCCACTTCACTCTATTTTAAAACACCAAATAAAATCTGTACAGATTTTTACTACAAATAATTTTCCTTCATTTTCTTTCAGGTCATTTTGATTATTCTTCCTATCACAGAAATAGCACAGCTGGAGAGCTACTGTCCAACTGCTCTGAATACTTTACAGTCTGACAAGCCTGAGTAACGGGTAACACTCCTGCTTTTGAACTACACACATGCCCTTTCAGTTGGAAATCCCACCTTCTGAGTATTTGTGAATGGTGGAAGAAGGAGGACAAGGCAAAAGGATGCTGGAGTAATCTGTATGAACAATCATAAAAATCACACTAACTTTTTTGACTACAGTAAGTATCATGTACCTGGGACTAACTGTCCACACAACCCTTACATCTGGTCTGAGTCACTACAAAGATAGAAATCATGCAGTATTTGGCATGGTCTGTATTCCATATTCTGTATTTAACTGTATTTGGCAGCATCAACAAACTGTTTTGAAAGTTTTAAGGAGACCAACTAGGTCTACCAGTATGCCTCCATTGTTTGTTAGGTTAAAAAAACTCTCTAGTTTAATTCACAAATATTATTTTACATTTCCCATCAAAGATTTAGATTACTGATGAACTTTTATCATAGAACTTTTATAGTTCAAGGCTTTTCACATAATAATATTCATAATGTGTTCTTCCCTTTAAAATGTCACACAAGGTTAATTAAATTCAGAAACTTGTTTTAAAATAAAATGATTAGTAAACATTTAAACAACAGGAACTGGCAATACTGGCATATAAAGAAACACTGAATATTTAAGTTTCACTTGCTTTGGCTTCTTTAAGGTCACCATTTTTAAGAGACTTGTGAGATTAGCAGCATTCTCATATCAGCAGTTCACTTTTGGACAAAATAGCAGACAGTAGTCCAGCAATGGGCCAATTTGTTTCACGGGACACAGGTTCATCCAAACCTTTTCTAGGAAGTTATTGACACTTTAAATTAAAGTCAATAAAATCAGGAACTGGATATATAATTTTCAGGTGCCAAAAAAAAAAAGGAAAGAAGAAAAGAAACTGCAGACGGGTTAAACTTAAATGAACATTTTCAGATCAGTTTTAATAGTTAAAAAAAAAGCAATATATATCATACAGGTGTTTTTTCAGAGCCTAGTAAAACAATTTTCTGACATGTCCAACTACCGTATTTATACTCCTTATATTACTTCTATATATATTTTTAGGAAACTATGAATGACACTTTAATAAGAAATCAGACTTTTTTAATATAATGAGTACCAGATTTTGTGTACCAAAAAAGCAGATTCACACAGGTCTGATTAAAAATCAGGACTAGCATCTCCAGTGTGGCATGCAAGGTTTCATTTTGCCATGAAACTGGAAGACAGCCGAGTACCGTCACTTAATTCTGAAATTTACATTGAATTGGCACTAAAGGTACTTACTGGCTGAGGCCTGAGGTTGAATGCGAGGTATTCCTCCATTTGGCACTTGAAAGTTTGAGTCACTTCTGCTGTTTTTCACAGACTCAGCTTGGATGTTAGATGTCCTGGACAGGTTTGGAAGACTACGCCTTAGTTTTTCTGTACAAATACAAAGATACCACAACATGTAGTGTGATGCTGGACAAAGGTCAGGTTGTGAATCCGTAGCTGAACCCCAAACCTCACTGATGCAAAATGTTAGCCACATAAAACTACACTGTGATTTAAAAGCATATTTTGTTACATTAATTCTTCTCAGATCTATCACATACAGAATATTTATCCATCTAAAAAAGCAAGAATGTACATTTTTCACCTGTGGTGAAAAAAGTCAAGCATCTTATGTTTTGAAATTGAAACATAACTGGATTATGATTCTCTGAGTTTTGTTGTACTATTGTGAAAACTGGACAGACAAACCTAATTTGCAGTTTTACACAATTTTTGAATTATTTACCTATTTATAACAGAATGCTTGCCTGAAGAGTAAAAACATTGGTATTTGAGTAAATTTTCGAGACTGCCTAGTCCCACATCAGCCCATTATACAACAAAAATCAGCCACCCACTTGGAAAGAACCTCTTCATACACAGCATTCAAAATTACTCAAGTGTCCAGTTATGCTTCATCTTTCACATATGACTTGACTATCTACTCAGCTAATACTGATTCTTCAAGGGCCTACTAACATTTTTACCATTGCTCACAGAATACAAAAAGATGGCACTAAATATTTCTCAAGTCTAATGACGTTCTGTGTTTCTCCAACCCATGCAGAGCTGGGTTGATGACATACTTTGGACAGACGACTGCAGATGCCTTGATAGGATGAGTGGCCAACCTGATTCTGCAGAGGGATGCAGGGAAGAAGTATGTTAACCATGCACAAGCACTAAAGATGAAAACAAAACTAAATCTTCATCGGCTGAATATTCCTACACGTGTACTCTCGGCACTTAGCAATTTGCACTGCAGTTGGTACACTGTTGAACCCTGTCAAACAAATTTCCCTCCAAACATTCTAGCCAAAAAAAAAGAAAACCTGAACAACTTTTTTTGGCTGCTGCTGTATCAACTCTGAACATCCAAGCAACATTCAACTGCACAAAAATCACTGCAAGAGAATTCCTTGGAAGTGTTTCAGAAACACATGATCACACACTCTACTTTGATCCTTCTGGTATGTGGGATACCAGCTTTTGGTACCTTGCCTCTCATGGGATATTTCTGTTGCAGCTCATCTAGCACACATTAAGACTTTCATAAAATCCCAGAAAAGAATGGGAAAAGAATTCTCAACTAAGTCACAATATAATTGATTACCTTTTGCGTTGTGGATACCTAAAATTTCCCCAAGCCACTATTACTAATAAGGGGAATTCTTACTATCTATATGTATATCCTTTCTAATTTTTTTTTTATTTGCCAGATAAAAACTGTGCTTGCTGAAATGGGAATATGCTTGCAAAATTTCAGCCCAGTTAAAAAAGTTTCTGCCAGATTGCTATCAGGAAAAAGTACATTCAAGAAGAAAAATTCTATCAGGATTACATTATTTCATTCTATGCCAATATAGTATAATTACACTGAGTTTACTGCAAGCTTTATTTTTTATCATGCAGCAGTTTACACAGCTTTGAGATATCTAAATATCCAACAAATGCATGAGTTAAGTACTAATATTTTTAAGGCTACATTCATTGTCAAAGAGTTGAGAGTCCTGTGCTGCCAGAAGAAAGCATTCAGCTGTCTCACAGGCTACAAGCATGCATAAACTGCCACATTATCCTTATCTGACCACAGTTACTTTCCTCTGCATTTTATTCTGTCATCTGCAAGGCCTAACCATAGTGGTCAATGATAGTTTCCCTGCTTTATTTTTGTGCATTTGCCTGCCAAAGATAGACCTTGGTCACCATGAAACTCAATTATATTCAGTGACTGGATAACATCTAAAGCAAATATAAGTCTATCAAATCATCTGACTATAAGGGTTCCCCAGCAGAACTTAAGCTTTGCTTGCTCTGCTTTTTCTTCAACAATTCGGAGATTAAACCATGATGTTACACAAGCACATAGTTTTAGTACTGCACACTATCCAAACTACTTGTGTAACAACTTTGAGACAGTTTTTTACCTTCACTTTTGACATTACTAGTCTGTAAGTCTGTAGGATGGCCTTGAAGTGAAAGACGAGGTTGCTGTAAACGGCTAATCATAGGTTGCGGTGACGCTCGACTGTACTCTATGCTTCGAGCAGGCGAGCGGGAGCGAGGTGAATTTCTTGGAGATTGTTTTGGTGAAGGCCAGGGAGAACTGCGAGGTGATGGTGAGAACCTGCTAACAGCAGGGTGCACTGTGTGATGTGTGCCATCTTCCTCATCTTCTAAGCTCTGCGCATCAAGCTCCTGGTCGCTGAACGTGCCTCGCCTTGTAGAATTGCAAGAGGAACCAGAACTACGCCGAGAAGCAGTTGCTGCGTACTCTTGCCGGAGGCCTGGCAACAATGAGAACATTGTTTACTTGCTTCCAGCACACAGACGGTTCACACTAGAGACAGTGCCTACAAATATCTATGCAGTTCTCAACTTAAATTTGGCTCACCTTTTATTTGAGGCATTACATGAATTCAGATTAGTACCAAAAAGTTGTCTACCAGCTAATAATGACCTGAAATAAGTAGGTGAGCATATTCCATTTCCTAGTACAGCAATCATCAGTATAGATGTATTGTGTACTTACTTGTTCCTCTCCTCTCCCAGGCTGGATTCTAGCAACATAGACTACACCTTAGTTTTGGTATCATGTAACATTGTGTAACAATTATAGCAGCCACAATGAAATGTCTCTTGCAATATATTAGTTTATGTAACCAAACAAGCAGCATGATAAGCTGCCCCAAGAGAAACTGGAGTTGTTAGATCAGTGGTCTCTGAAGTGTGGTGCCCACACACCCAGGAGTACACAAAAGAATCCACTGGTGAACAGGAGAAAAATTTGTACAACCAGTATTTTAAAACAGCATTTATTTTGTCTTTATCTCATACTTTTAAAATTTATAATGTTTCATACATTTGTGCATTTTTGTGTATCTAATATATCAGAGTAGCACACATACATAATTTATAAAAAAATACATATATTGGGCCTTTGGTTTGGGTTTTTTTCACTGATAAGGATACACAATAGTCAGGAGACCACCCAGTTAGACAATTGAAATTATTACCACTTTCTGCAAACTCAGAGGGACAAAAAGACACTCTCAACTAAAGCTATAATAAAAGAGAGACATCTACATAGGTGTTTTTTAAACTATTTTTTGTCATAGGGATTTTACATTCTGGTGATTTAAATTACGGTTTAAGCATGATGTCAGCAAGACTGGATTACATCAGGAAGGCACATATCTCCTGAGAAGAATGGTGACAGGCAGTAGTCCATTCTAACCACCATCCTTTTAGCAAATACTCTATCTTACAAATTCATACTCTCTAGCATTTTTTGTCCATTGTCCCTAAAGAACAATTCTGCACAGCAACTTCCTTTCCTTAGCCTGGAGGCTTAAGCCCTTAACCATCTTTCTTGGGTCATCTACACTTGTACATTCACAGTAGAATCTACATACCTTTTCCACTACTGCTAAGCAAGTGCAACTGGAGTTATACAATGAAAAACCCCAATGGCTCCACTGTGTTTTCAGAAAAAAAAGCCACTTACTTTCTTCCTGCATTCGTGCTAAAATTTGCACATCTGTAACATCATTTAACTTGTAATTAGACCCAATAGAGTCTTCATCCATCTCTGATGCACTTAATTCACTGTCCAGAGAGGACTGTGGACTTATCGGAGGATTTCTATCTCCCGAACTTTTAAGATGACCTATGGAAAGAAAATAAAGAAACAGGAAATGTTACTTAAAAGAAAGGAAAAAAAGGGAAGCTGCATTTCCTTTCCCAGTAAAAGAACTACCAATCTGAAAACAGATTATTACTGAGACATTTAGTCTGACAGACCATTTGAAACATTTGATTGCTAACCTAGGGTGAAAATATAACTTACAAAAGCAGAGCTTAGCCATTACCTTCTAAAAATGGGCAACTTTATAAAATCATTGCAATGGTACCTAAACAAATTAGTGACATATAGTCTGGTCTATCATACCATGTTTCAACTGCTATGAAGTTTGCACAGCTCTACAAACAAAAGCAACTGCATACCTGGTTCCATTTGTGCTTTCATTCTCACCTCTGCTTACTACCTTGTAAGACATGAGTTTGACTAGATCTTTCTTAGTGGTAAGGACATGCTGATCCAATGAATATTGATTCAGTTTGGAATGCTTACAATACAGTTTATCTGAAAATACTATCTGTTCCACATACACACCTTTGCTAAACTATAACATGGAAACTATAACAAAGAAAACTCTTCCTGTTTTCTGCCTTCTGGCTGATATCCCATTGCCTGTTACATCTCTGTCCTCCTCAGGCAGACACACCATTGTGGGACATAATGCAGAGCAAAGTTAAGAGAGATGAAAACAAAACCTGAGTAATGGCTCTGGTGCAGTGCAGGCTTCTCTACAAGTCCACACTGAACTACAGAGAGTTGGATTGTCAATGCAGTGCTTTTTTCACCTTCCCTGTAAGCTAACTTTAACTAAAGTATATACAATAAGCCAAAAGTATGACTTCAGAATAGTGATATGTTCCAGGCATCAATTTTTATCATGCAAAGAAAACATCTACAGTGTAGAATAAAGGCAGAAAACATCACCTGAATTTAGTGTTTACACTGATGGCTGCAAAGCCTTGTGGAATGCCTTTAATTAAAAATTGCATCTTCTAGATTATATAGTTCACATCTCAGAAGTAGTGATGGATATATTACATACCAAATGTTTCAGTTAGTAAACCTACTGTTTATTAACTATTGCAACTGTAGCTGCAAAGACTTTGCAACTACCAGCACCTAAGGTTTGAATACTTACCATGCAACTTACATGCCATTTAATTCCAGAAGCCACTGACTGACCTTGGGACGCCACAGGACTAAGGTTCTGTTTTAATCTAACTGCCAACATACATCAGTGATTTTTTTGGCACATGGACATCCAAAGAAAACATTTGAATAAGTATCTCATGTCAGAAACTCTATAAAAAAGGCTTTCCTAAAAAGCTTAAATACTGCATGATGCAAACATCCTACAAAAGACTGACAAGTTTTTGGTTTCTTTCTTACTCTAGTTCAATGCAAAGTCATCTATCTGAGCATGTTTTTCAAAGGAAGAGGAGGAAGAAGACAGCAAAAGACTAGACACACAGTCATTTACCTGAGGTACCAGAAGGTATGAGCTGTTTCACTAAAGCAGATTTCACTGGTGTTGAGGAGGGAGAGTTAAAACCACTGCTGTAGGGACTACCGGTATTTGGACTATAGGAGCTTGCGTAACTGACCGCACTGAAAGGACTGCTGTACAAACTCTGTCTCTTGAGAGCTGTAGGAAAGAGGAGAAAAGTGATGAATTATACTGAAGGAACCAATGAAAAATTAATACAATACTATATAGTATCTTCAGTGTGATTTAATGTCTATACAGTTCAAGTAGAAAATTTCAGACACCAGAAAGTTTTTCAACTGATTTCTTCGCCCCCTAGCTATAACCATATTGTGAAAGGAGTGGGAGAAGAGGACAAGATAAGATAGTGATAAGTACTTTCATCGTAGCAGTCAGATCTAAGATCACTACAACTGATCTCTTCAAGATGTCCAGTGTTGGTGCTGGGAAGCAGGAGGACAGTAGTAGCTAAGTTACATTAACATACATCCTATGCACAATTGCATACAAACCAGAGCACACCACGAAGTCGAGTTCTCCAGAACTCACAGACCTGTGTAGATCACACAGTACTTCCACAGAACTAAGCAATACCACCTACAAAATTTCCCTAAGCATATGCTAAAATGAAAAAGCATTAAGCCAGGCAAAAGCTTCTGTTTATATTTCTGGGTACCATGAACCTACCAGGCTAAAGCAAATTGACTGTAGGGATTATTCCCTTCTGTTCTAATGACTTAGGACTTTTTGTCCACAGCCTTCAACCTCATATATAACATAAGATCTAAATTGGGTACTTTCCTTTGCCATTTATTGTAAATATTTCAATGCTAAAGTACTTTCAGATAAATGTTAACCACTAGTGAACATTTTCCATATGATACTGCAATTCCCCCAATTGCCAGGTGTATGATTTGCATAGTTACTTAATTGATTATTTTGTTCAAAAGTTTTACTTTATTTTAACATAATAGAAAATGGAATTTCAAACGGGGAAGTGGGTACCTAAGGAAAATTTGGCACTTTTGGTAAAAATCCGTTCCTTCATTGCTGAAAGTATATTTATACAGAAGTGTATAAAAGATCAAATTAAATCACAAAACATTAAGCTGAAAGCTAGAGGTCCTAACTTGATGGTATGTAAATCTGGATTAGATTAAGTTGCAGCTCACCTAGCTGCAGAAAGTAAGCCATTTAGAGAATGTTGTGTGACATTTCTATGAGTGAAAATGGGCTTCAATAAGCACAGTAGCAATTAGGCTATGGATAGTAGTGGACAAAAAAAAAGGAATTGAACTTTAATTTATTTACTAAAAATCACTGCTGTTTCGACATTACAAGAAGCCAAAAGGGACTACAGTTGCATGAAATGCTGTTTTCAGCAGCAAAGGCTGCTTTACCTCCTCCTCCCTTCTTTGTTCTTACTCGCTACACCTCCTCAACTGTCCAGTACAAACAATGGTGGGGCTGCGCTATCATCTGGCCTACTAAAGTGGACTTAAGTTAAAAACATCTAGAGTATTTTAACTGATTGCATCACTAAGTAAGTTTTTAGTAGTGCCTTAAAAAAACATGTTATCCAACCAAGCCAATGGCAGAATGTAGCAGAGGCAAAACCAGCAGAAATTAAAGTTGACTTTGAAGCAAATTCCTAAAACTGCAACTTGTGCAAAGGTACTTTCTAAACCAGTTAGTGTTACCAGTAATTTAGTTAGAGAGAAAAGACGGTTATAGATGAAGGATGAAACGCTTGATACTTCAGCTTTCACTGCAAGTTTTAAACAATACGTATTAATTTCACCAATTAGTGAACTCGGTGAATTCTAGCAAGTATTCTTGAGGTACCTCCACTTTATTATGAGTGTCAGAAGGGAAATATCCACTTTATTACAAAGCTCAGGTAACAAAATCAATAATTACAACTCGTTGTATTCTGGTTGACTTACAAGAGGCCACTCCTTTGACAGCAAGTTCTGGCATTCACATAGGAATCCTAAAGCACCTATTCCAACTGAATCTTTTTTCTCACGCTGAAAATAATTTACTTTTCATCTGTTGCAGAAAGTGTCAGTAAAAAACCTCTAAAATGTAAGACTGCACAACAGTTCTTTTGTACTTATTACATAGACAAGTATTTTAAAATAGTAACACAAATTAGAAAACAATTGTACTACTGTATAACCTTCAAAACAGGCTCTTTGTACATACCAATAATGATACAAAATATTTGATCACACAGATTTCTTTAGATGAAACTAAGTATACTTTTGCTACATATAAAAAGTTTGCTCTGGTACGTGATGAGCCTTAATATGTGCAGTAGTTTTCATCCTAACTAATGCAAACTTCTACCTTTCTCAGCATTTTCCCCGGAAAAAAAAAGCTGGATTCAAACTCTTTTCTGGTCCAGAACTCCTAAAGGTTTTCCAACGGGGATTTCTGTAACTCAGGAAGACATTGCTATTTTACAAATAGAGATGTGTTCTTTATTAGGAGTGCCAGACAAAATCAGCATGACAGATAACTCATTTTAACATTAAAATGATCCTATATTGGATAAAACACTAGCTTACAAAAGATTACACATTAGCTCTCAAAACACCAAAGGGGAGGGTTGATGATCGACAATTTTATTTTAATGGATTTTCTTTTATAACATTCAGAAACAGTATGCAGCATCTAATTCCTTTTAGTTAACATTTTGTTAAAACTGTCATGAATCTCTCTTGCTGTAGAAAATAGGAAAATTTGAGTGTAGAATACACCTAAGGCTTCCTCTAGTCTGAACATGCTTCCAACACTGAGCAGGACTTGCTCTGCAATTGTAAACCTGAGCTAAATAGTGACAAGGCACTGTGCATCAGTAACTGCTCCCAGTAGTTTGGAGCTGAGAGCTGGTCTGCCCTCCTTTATTATCACACAGTGGAAAACAGGATGGAATATGAATATGTGAAATACAAGAGAAACAGCAAAAAGATATTAAATTAGAAAGAGGTAACAACAGGAACTGACAACATTACAAAGAGTCAATGCAAAAGAAACATCAGCAAGGATTCAGGAAAGAAAGTAACAGTAGTGTGAAAAGCCTTATCCACAGAGACTGGAACCAAAATCGATAAACTGATGCAGTAGGTAGTAACAGGTTAAGTGATGGGTCCATGAGGAATAAGTGTTATGTAAAATATAAGTCACAAGATAATCCTGAAGTTGTGGGGTACAAAACACAAACAAGGTTACAAGCAGCACTCCTCATCTCCTCCAGTGGAGCTTCCTGCTACCCTGTATCTGTAATAGATGGGTTGCTATAAAGGACAATTTTCTATTTTGTTACAAATTCATTTTTTCATGCAATCTGCTCCAACCAGCAATATTAGTGCCTATCTCTTCTACCATTAGTATTTTCTCCTATTAGTACTTTAGATGAATTGCAGTATTCTTTCAAGTATCACTGCCAGAGGCAGATTCTTAGGTCTAAGGAAAAAAAATGAGGTGAAGTTACCTAAAGACATTGTTTGAATGATCAAACTTTCAAATATGTGCATTTCATAGGGAAGTTTCCTGCCATTCAGTTTCAACTATGAATTTTTAAAGATATACCCTAAGGGTAACAGAATCTGTGGTACTTCTGGAAGACTTCTACTCACTTACGAAAAGAAGGTAAACCATGAAAAGAATTAGGTCAATCAACTGCTATCCAGTCTTAAATATTCAGTAGTATTCAAATTCCCAAACCTGGATCATCATTTGTAAATCTCTGTGATCTGAATACTTTTCTTTGTTTAGAATTTCAGTCTTTGCCTGTAGCAAATTACGTTAACTGTTCAGGAAAATTGTTAATAGATGTCCAGGCAGCATAAAAAAAGCACAAGAAACAGAAGAAGATCAAAGGTGACTCATATTGAAGGCACTTTTACCACTATGCCTATGATTGTTATAAGAATAAAAAATGGATTCAAATTTTATTAAGAACAATTTTAGTACAAACCAGAAAAAAGACTGAATCGCTCCAGAAAAGGATCCAAGGAAGGGAAAAAAGTTACAGTCAAATAAACTTGGCACGAAGTTTACATATAACCACGTAAAGAAGGTGGTAGTTGGGAACACTCCTGGAGCTGTGTGTGTTCACTTACTCCTAGCTCAAGTGCAGCTGTTCTGCTAACTACTGAACATAACAGTTAAAAATGTAGCAGAGTGCAAAAAAATTGAAATACAGGGAGAAAACAGCTATTAATAGCAAGAAAGTAAGTGTCTCAGGATAATATTTTAAAAAATAAAAATAGATTCCAATAATGAAATTAAAATAAAGCAAGAAAACAGATGGACAGAGAATTCTAATCAGTCCTTCAGCATTTTCCTGCTGGTTTGACATAAAAAATGCTGGTAATAGAAGGATGGAGAATGTAGGCTTTCATGCTCACAGGGTCAAATACTCTCCAGTTTTGAATATAACCAACTAATTTGTATCAAGGAAGAATCATGAACTTTGGGGTTTTTTAATCTGCTTGTAACAAGATCTTAAGTTACTGGGGATGGGAGGAAAAGAAATCACTATTACCTCTCCAAAGTATTCACAAACTTAAGCCTCCATTTCCTTAGATGAAATAAAATAGATAATCTAGCAGAAAACCATGTTAACATACTGTCAAGCACCTACCAATTATGATAGTTTAATACCGGCTTCTATTTTAAAATAAGACAAGAAAACCTTCAAGTTAAAAACACTGTTTCTTCCTGAAAACGTCTGTCCAAATTATGAAGATAGTATAAAACTGAATTCATGACTCACAATCTATGCCGCCTTTTCATTTTGTTCATACAGTTCAGAAAATGAGTCGAATTAATTACTCCTTGTAAAACATAACAAAAACTTAAGACCCAAGTAATTGCTGAATGTCTTATCTCACAACTATCAGCTAATTTTGACTCTGTTTCAGAGTAAATGCATACAACCCAGTGGTTTTAGCGTGCAGGAACTCACCTGACATTGTTTGTTCCAGCCTGTGGATCAGTGACTTTTTAGCACATTCAACATCAGGACTTGGGTAATCCAATACCTGCCTGCACCAAACTAATGGACTGACACATTTTTGCCCTGGAGTCAGTTTCTTCTTTGGAGATGTATATAACCTGGAAAAAGAGGGGGAAAAAAAAAATCTATGAGGACAAACAAAATGAGCATAAGATCAGGCATGCAACAAAATACCACATACTATGCTATTTTTATTTTTATACTCTATCTATACTATAATACAATCCCAAAAGATAAAGAAAGCACAAATTTTAGCTTACGATTAACTTTTTTGGATACAGCATATGGCTGCTCAAGGACTTCTGGCAAAAAGTGCTGCCTATCTTGCTATCCCAGGATATACCAACTGATATGCAAGGAAAAAAAAAAGCCTTTTCAGACACTTTAGGTATATGCACAATTTCACTATATCACATAAATGCACAATCCAGGATTATCTTTTCAGATTTAAGTAACATTCACCTGAAAGAAGGAAATAAAGCACTATGCAATAGGGAACTGTTGTTTTACTAACCAAAGATGTAGCAAGCAATTATCATCTTAACAGCCAAGGAGCAGTGCTAAAGTGCACAAAACACAGGTACTGTTTCAGTAGCCTTGAACAATAAGCATTTTATTTTTATTTATGATTTATATCCCACCACCTGATCCTTTCATTTTCTTCAAACACAGAACAAAAGGACTATCTCTATCCTAAAGGGTATACAGTCAAGCATCAGAAACAAGGAAAAAGAGATAATGCACACAGAGTAGAGAGAAACAATGAGATCATATTGTTCTGAAGACATGCTGAAGCCTTTGTCTGTCAGCATCTCCATTAATTTCTTTTAACATCAACATTCCATGACTGAAGAAAGTAGTGTTCCAGTTTAAAGGCTCAAGAAATTTAGCTGAAAAGTCTCCTCTTTCAACAGAGAGAGTAAAAGAAAAGTCACAACCAATCACACACACTCAAAATAGGGAAGCTTAAGCCTTACTTTGGACTAGAACCAAACTTGGAAATGTGCTTCAGCAAAGACAACAGTGAATTGCAAGATGCACAGCCAGAACTAGAGCTCACGCATATGCAAGAACAACTAAATGAGTGTTTCTTCTAGGAGTAATGACAGACTTCATGTTCCAAGTGAATATGACTGTATGCCACACACTGTAACTTAGAAACATCTGACAGTCTAATCAGCCATGTTTCCTTACAAAATAGACAGCAAAAAATTGTTTCCTTTATGCCAATGACATCGGCAACACAGGAGTTATTTCCCACAACTTTTGTCGTTACAAGATTATTAGCTGATCTTTCCTCTGTAATTCTAGAAGTGGAACTGTTTCTTTTATAATAGCTTTAAAAGATTATTCTTTTAATTACTACCAGTAAGTTCACTTCTTAAAAAAGCTTCCCAAGAAGCATAATTATAAAACCACCATGAATATCTCACCCTAAACACTGATCTTTGTTTAGAGCTCGCTCTGAAACACTCTGCCCTCAAACACTGGAATTAGCAAGCTATGCTTGCAAATACAGGAAACAAGATTTTTATTAGCTGCCAGGTTTTCAAACAAAAAAGGAAGCTGTTTGTAACAAGGCAAATAGCCACTGCCACCTACTGTAGTTCAAGCAGTTTATGCTCTGGCCAGTATCATGTTATAACTTATTTTGTAGAAATCCTAACAATCTTCACAGGCACTCTGCCCACAAGAAGAGCTGAAAGCCCATCACATATTTATAGCCCTAAAGATCCTTGAAAAGAACAAGAATCACTTAATTTTTACAGTTCTGTGTAAACAATTACAAAATTTTCTATACTTTCTGCAATTATCTCCATACAGTTAAAAGTAACGTTTAACATTTGCTATCTCTCTAACAGTCTGAATTTACTGTCTTTTTAGCATTTTTTGCCTATACTCTTTTCTGTCCTAAGGTATGTTTATACAATACAAAGAAGCGTCAAAGGCAACAAAGACAACTTTTGTCCTGTACAGGCCACACTCCCTCCTAGCTCTCTGGATAGCTGACATGCCTTGCTGTCTTTGAGAAGTTCCATGCACATTTGAAGTATTCACAGTAATACCCAGTATAAAAGGCATTAAAGTGCATGTCCTCTTTGAGAGACATACCAAGGGGGTACCTTCAACAAACCTACAATATTGCTCTAATGAAAATTGCACGTGGTAGTTTAAGCTTCAACACATTCTTTTCTGCAATTTCCAACTGTTGCATTTGTTTCACAAGTAGTTTATTTATTGAAGCAAATCCAGGCTCACACTTCTCCACCTTGCTTTCTAACCAAATATATATTGCATATTCTTCCACCTCTTTCCAACTCCTTTTCCTTTAACAGCCTTTGTTTTCATAACTCATACTTCAAGAAAAGACAGACCTTCAGGATATACATATTTCATGCAACTCCACTTCATGACATGCACATATACATTGATGTGACAACAAAACAGCTCTTTCAGGGCAGTTTCTTGAACATCATGCAATTATGAAGCCTCATTACAAAGCAGTGATCCTTATTTCCCATCTGACAAAGAAGAGCCAATCTCAAGTTTTGAGACTGACTTAACTCTACTTGCTTTGTCTAATTTGGATTTAAAAAAAAACCCAAAAGGACCAAGGAAAAGGCTAAGAATCAGTGATGCCTCTACTACTTCTTCCTCTCTTCCCAACAGCAGGAACAGAAAAAGAACAGAGACTATGAAGTATGTACAAATAACTTCATACAGCTAAATGATCTTCTTTATCAGACTACTGTTTGATCCAAAAGATATAGGTCTTCCTTAGCTGAAGAGCTTTCCAGAAGAGATCCCTTTTGTACCTCTTAATGCATTCTACAGCAATGCAACAGCATGGATTGGCAGCACAGCAACTTCAAGATTGAAGACAATCAGAATAACTTCATACATCTTTAACCACCATAAATCACTTTCTTAAAACAGGAAGTTGAAAACACTGAGGAAGCTGACATCTTACAGTTACCACCCATACTACAAATGTTAACACACCAGAAACCTACACTCCAATTTCTCCACAGGAGAGTAACTCTACAGTCCAGTGACATAAGGTCAAGTAAAAGAAAACAGTATATAAAAAGAAGGAGCAATCCTCAGGAGCTTTGATCTATTTTGAAACAGCATTAAGAAGCCCAGACACTATGATTCTGCTGCACACAGTAATACTTCCTTCCCTTGGCTGTCACTAGTGAACTATGCCACAGCAGCACTAACCTGAAGCTGAAAGCAGGCAGGGGCTCTACTGATTAATTCCAGAAAGACGCAGCACAGAAAAGGACAGAGCTTTTGCAGAAAGACTACTGTCACTATAAGCACATACGATAATGTCAGCCAAATAGGGCAAGCTGTAGCATGTTGTACTAGGACAGCTGAGTCGGAAAGGGCTTTGAAGAAAGGGGACATGACACTGTGGTAGGAGTGGAATACCTGTGTAGGGATTACCTCACTGAGGAACACCTCCCCATGCATTAAAATACAAGAGGCTAGTTGCCATAGGCATAAAACCAGAAGCCAATAATCTAATCAGGAAGAAAGGAAGAGTCTTCATAGCAAAATCCTTCTACTGCTCAGTAAAAGAGTGGGGGGGAAAGATGCAGATGAACATGAAGTCACAGATTTGAATTAGAAAGATGGCAAGTGGAAAGAACTTGAGTTAGAGCTCATTTATTTTAGCTACATTAGCTTTAAAGAAACGAGAGCTACAACAGCTGTAATGAAATGAGAGCAGACAAAACATGATTCAGGCAAAAGCAGGATGAAAAACCTGAAGACACAAGGAGGAGAAAAAGTTGAAATCTAGGGACAGAACAGTAAGAATTTCCTTTAAAATACAAAAAGGAAATTACACAATGAAAAGCTACTGAACATAAATAAATCAAGAGACAATAATACTGGACAGTCTTGGAAACATAATTTTGAACACAACAGTGTCAATCTAAAGTCTTTTAGATCAAGCTAAAACTTTCAGGAAACCCTGTCTGAAGCAATTTAAATAATTAAAATTTAAAATGGATTTTGAATGAACAGGTAAAAATCTGAAGAGAATCTCTGGTCAAAAGAAAAAAAAACCCACCAAAAATTAAGTGACATTACTGTACCTATCTAGCCCACAGATTTTTCTTATCTCCCACTCCAGGAAGTTCCTCTGCTATAGCTATAACTGGCTGAGATACACATTACTTAGCCTGTAATTACTAGTTTTCAGATGTACTTCACAGAATGCTTCTAGTTCCCAGAGATGCACCAGTTACAGTAAACTTCAGGTCTATTCATATCAACTCCAGGATACGAACACTACAAAAATGCTTCGACAATTTCATTAAATCTTCATATTAAAGCAGCACATCTCAGCTACCTGATGCGATTTTTAAGTAGAATTAAGGATATTTGAGAGGTTGCAAAGTGCAATTTGGAACACATCTACCTTTCTGTGACCAACAATTAAAAGATAGTTAGCTATGCCCTGGTTAGTTATAGGAAGTTACAGGTATTATTCATTTCCTCATCCAAAAGAACATGTTGGTGTCTGAAAGAGATGACGTAGAATGGGAAATGGGGCCTTCAAAAATACCATCATGCAGCTTCCCTAGAACTGTCACACAAACTGTCCAACTGTCCACTGAGAAGCTTTTCATAAGGAATTTGTTAAAACACATGCTCTAATGTGGCATTGTTGATACTTACATGGAATAGATAAAAGCTGAGAAGTTCTGTGTCCTATGAAATGTGTTTCAAGATAAAATTCTGCTTAATAACTAGGCTTAAGAGTTCTAACAACACCTACAAGTGGTAGAAATATGAATCATACCTAAACAAGATGTGATTATGAAGTAAATTTCAGGAATATCATTAAGACAGTAAAAGAAACTCGTATCAAAGCTTTTATTATATCTAAATATCAAGAATGTTTAAAAGTTATAAATATCACACAAGAAGTTAGAAATGAAAAAACGTTCCTCGGGATTCTTCCTCCAGTCCTCAAATATTGGTTACACGATAAACACGGATACCTCAAAGACATTACTGAATATTATTTGATGTTACCAGTTGTTTCACTTGATGAAACTGGCAACTTCTGTAATCCTTGGTTCTCCTACATGCTTCTTTTCATATTACCTTCCTAGTTTGTGAAGACATTATCTGAAATGAAAAGCATCAGTTTCTCTTTTACCTAGACCATGGCACAGATATTGATTAGAACCTGTCCAATTTCCAAGAGGCCTAAACCACATTAATACAATGAAATTTAGTATTGAACAGGAAATGCTGCAATATAATTTCAGCAATGGGATTTCATTCAGGTGGAGCTCTATCCTAAAATATTCATGCCATACTTTACTAGCTCACTATGGTAAACTAGGATTCCAAAACAATACTAGTCCCCAAGGGACATCAAGCAATATGAGATGAAGACAATCATTACAGATGACAATCATGTATCTCTAAACAGCCACTTAGCCAACTAAAGACAATGGATGGCTAGAACAGAAACATAAACTCTTATAAATAGGTCCAAATTAGAAATAGCTGCAGAATGAGAGTGAGTATAATAGTAAAAGTATGTGACTTCCATTTTAACTAGTCAGGATACACAACCAATGTGAGGTCTTAAAAAACACTGAAACCATTACTTTGAATTACTAGGTTAATATAAATAGCTCACCAATAATTTAATTTTAAACACAAAATATCTGCCTTTTGTTTGTAAACAAGCTCAGTCAAGTGGCAGCTATTTCAGCCCTAGCAAGGAGACTTTGGACATGAAACTGACAAGAAAACTGTTAAGTGCCAGGCTAGTTTTTACAGCACTGTCATTGAAAGAGGACACAACTGCCCTGAAGTTTGCTGAGCAATTACACGTACAAAATAGATACACAGCATGCTCTATACTCTTTTATGCACATGCTGCAAGTAAATTTTGAAGAAAAGCACTGCATGTTTTGCTCACATGTAAAAGAACCCATCTCAGAAAGTCTAGGTGACCACAAAGCAACCTACAGTGGATTCACAGCTCATTAACTAATCTACAGTAATTGCCCACGTGCACATTTATCCTGCAATAAACTTGAAGCAGCTCTCTTTTTAAAAGCAGCATAGCAAGCGACCCTGCATGCTGTTACCCAGGTGTCTCAAACGTGCTACGCATCCACACCCAACCTTACCCAGCAAGTCAGGCAAGGAAGGAGCTGCATACCAGTTCTCTGAAGTCCCCTCTCCTGGCCTTTTGTCTTTTTAATTAATTAATAAGAAAAGACCCCTTCAGATCGAAATTTGAAAAAAATTAAGTTTGATCCAATCTGGTTCAAGAACAGCTAAACAGGAACACCCATAAAATAGATTATGAAAGTCATGGATAACTTAAGGAAATAATTAGCAGGCCTAAAGCAAAGCCTCCATGGGACTGGGTACAGCTCAGTACTGCATGCAGGTGCAGATGTGCCCATTTGCAACCTTTGGAACCCTATCAAGAAGAAAGTTTCAGCACATCAAATAGGATTCAGAAGTATATAGACAAGAAACTCAACCTAAATTCACTGAAATATTGTTAATAATTTACCATATAATTTGAAGATTGTCTGATGTGCTAAAATGTTTAAAACTATCTGGATTTAACTAACCACAGTGAAGAAGAACAAACAAGCAAAAAAATAAACAGTCTCAAATTTCACCAATACTGCAATGCTGTTTTAATAGCTAATGCTGCTACTAAAGCAGCAGTATCAAAATTCTTTTGCTTGTTAGCTAGTCCTACCTTCTCCTCTACTTTTTCACTTTACATTTCTGTCCTGTGTAGATTTATCTAAATGCATTTAAAGAACTAAAAGCTAAAAATGAGCTGATAAACTCCAAAATGTAGATTTAAAAAACCATGTCACATTCCAGTATCAATTTCAGGCACAGTATCAAGTGTTCCATCTTAAATTCACAGCCACTAATCTCACGTGAGCATTAATGTAAAGCAATGTAATTTTTGCAGTGAAGAAAACTATTTCTTCTGCCATTACAGGGCTGCAGACAATTTTGTAATGGAGTATGAAAATGTCTGTATTATACAAAACAGAGAAAGCCAGCACCCTTTATCATCTATTATCACCCAGAGCAAGGTCCTTCTGAAATGAGAAGTAAAGACAAATCTAAGCTTCTCTATGCAGATATGCAAAATAGGCAAGATGAATCAATTTTTTACGCACAAACTATGATTTAAATTTAGAGTGTTTCCACAAAAGATTTCCTCAGCTGCTAAGAGATCTTTGGCTTTTACAGTGTATAATCCCATATTTTAAACAGGATTTTGGGTTAAGCAGTAGTGACCCAAATCCATTTGAACCTGAAGGAGTTCATACTAGGTTTAAATTTCATCAAGTACATTCACCCATTCAGTTGATTCAATTACTTTTTGAGAGAACTTGCATGACCAAGACCTTAAGAGCAAGATCTTTATGAAACAGTTTAAGTGAAATCCACTTACGTCATCCTTCCTATCTTCACAGGCTTGTTTCTTTTTTATTGCTCCACTAGCCCTCTGAAAATTTCAAACTTCATTTAGAGCAATTACCTCCATTCATCAAATGCAAAATCATCCTCCCTTCATAAGAAACAAAAATGGTTTTGAAGTACTTAGTGTGTCAATAGTTGAATTAAAAGGTGTTCAGAAATTCCACGAGCTTGACTTCCATTTTTATTGAGCAGTTTAGAACAAAAAAACCATCAGTCAGTCTAGCCAAACCACATTTATCATTAACTGCATAGTAAACTAGAGTAGGAAAAGACAATTTTTTTTTAATTACACATTCATATTTTGTGATGTGTGCAACAATAAGTAAAATTTAACAACTGCTCTTTTCTAGGTGTGTTTGTGTCTCAGTCAGTGTCCCCCACATCTGAGACTGAATTAGTTGCTAAAACATATTTTAGCATTATACTTGCCAAAACACTAGTAAAGAAATGAAGACATGCAAAAGACTGCATTTAAATTTTATTATCTTTTGAGGACTAGAACTTGCACAGAAACATGATGGTGCCACAAGAACTGGCAGCATGAGTAACATGCCAAACACCTGACACCAGCAAGAGCAGTGCCCAGCAAATCAGTGCTCAGCACTGCGGCTGCCCCACCAGTGTTCTGAACCATGTCAACAAAAACACAGCACTTATGGCACCACTGTCACCACACACTCTGTTGTGACATTAACTCTCACTGAAGAGATGCATGATACTGTCCATAACATATAAAGCTATAACGTCTATTGTCACTAGAGTTCATGACACTGACAAACTCCCATTCTAAACTTACCATGCAAATTTACTATATTCTATTTCCATCAAGGGCTATAAGCCACCAGATTACAGGGTATACACTGAGAAATAAGAGTAGCTGCCTTGCACAGACTTGTCATTTGGGCGATGATGCCTTGTGTTAATTTAGCGTTGGATGAGAATAAACTTATGCTCTCATACTTCTCCAGCGGATCAGGCTGGAAGTCAGGCAAACGACTTCTCCAAGGAAGTGCACACACTGTCTCCTCCCTAAGCAACTAAAATATTGCTCATGCATGGAATCATTCCAGCATTTTTAAAGGCGTTTCTAAATCTGAAAGACATCTTTGTTTTTTAAATTTGTCTGCACGTTTGCTTCCAAAGACCTTTTAGATCAACCTACAACCAGTTCTGCCCCAAGTTAAATTGCTTGTTACACTTTTCCTCCTGTACATGCTTCCCTTGCATTTCTCTGTTGACACTGTGCTCCTCCCCACTATTTCTCCTGCAGCTCTAAAGCTGCTCAACTGTCATAGGAAACTTCAAAACGACAGCTGGACAACAGCGTGATGTTTTGAGAGAGCAAACCCTGATTCTCAGTGGAAGCTCATCCAAGTGCAATAATGACAAGGCGAACAGCCACCTGCAGGTGTTTCTGCTGGAGCAGCAGGGTAAGCAGTCCATTTAAAAAGACGAATCACCTAAGGGAATCCGTGGTCCTACATCATTAGCAACAAACGAGAACACCTAAGGGCAACACGTTTATGAGATGAAAAAGTGTATTACGTTGCTGCCTTCACAACTGAAAGAAATCAAGGCATAAAACACGCCTGATACACGTCTGAAGTGTAACAGTACCTGTGGGCAAATTCTGAACTAGCCAAGAAATTTCCCACAAGTTTCCCAACGCGTCCACACCTCCTGAACTCGCGGAAACACTGAGGGCTGATCCTGCGGCAGCACTGGAGCCGCTCTGGTCTCCGAGGGACTCGCTGTAACGCTGCCACTGCGGCCGAACAGCAGCGCGGAGCCGCGGGCCTGCGGGGAGGTGCGATGTGCTGTGCAAAGCACAACACCCTTCCCTGGCAGACTTCGGTACGTCTCGGAGAGCTAATTAATCCCTTCATCCAGCTCAAAAGGCGAGGCTGCCTCCGCCACACAAAGCCCCGAGACCCCCTCCGACACCAAGGACGCGCCTGGAAACGGCCCCTTCCTCCCAGGCGCGGCGGGGGAAAGGGACGCGGAGCCCCGACCGCCCCCTCATCAACCTATCCCCACCCGGCCCCCTCCTCACCAGCCGGTCTCGTCCTCATCGCAGCCGGCCAGCCGCTCCAGCTCCTCTGGCCTGAGCACCGCCGCCTCGTCCAGGAGGCCATTGCCGCCCCCGCCCTCGCCGCCGCCGGGCTCCTCGGGGGGCGAGCGCCGGGCGGCGGCCCGGGGACTGAGGCAGCGGCCGTCGGGCGACGGGGAGGCGCCGGGGGGCGGCGGGGAGGGCCCGGCGCTCGGCAGGCGCTTGGGGCTGGCGGGAGCGGCGGGCAGGGCGCCGTGGCGGCTGCGGAGCTGCTCGTTCTGCTTCTCCAGCTTCTTCACCAGCTCCTGCAGCTTCCGCACCTCCGCGTCCGCGTTCACGCCCGAGCCGACGTCCTCCATGGCGCCCGCCAGCAGAGCGGCGGCTGCGCGGGCAGAGGCGGCCGCGCCGCCCCGTCTACGCGGCCGGGCGGCCGCGGCGGGGCAGGGCCGGGCCGGGGCGGGGCCGGGGAGGGGAGCAGGACGCACATCCGGCCGCCGCCGCCATGGGCACCGCCCCGCACGGCCCCCGGAACCGCCGCCGCTCGCACCGCCCTCCGCACCGCCCTTCCCTGGGTGGGGCGGGACGGGATGGGGCGAGGTGGGGTGGTGGCGGTTTGGGGCCTATCGGGGCAGGTTCTGCCGCACCCCAGCCTGGCGCTGTCTGAGGGGCTCCTTCGGCAGTCTCGCTGCTGAGGGAACGGCGTGGCCTCCAGTCCATGTCGTGGAGGCCGCAGATCCCAGATAGGAATTGTTCGGGAAGCCCCGGGTTACCTTCCCAAAATGGTCAGAACCTCTAAATGATACGAGGTGTGCCCTTGTCCAAGGCCCTGGTGGTGGTGTTGGGCCCGCCCTGTGTGACAGACATGTGAACTGAATATCGCTTGAGCTTTTCATGTTGCATAAATAAATGCATATTCATTTAGAAATTGACATGACCTTGCCATCTGTAGTAAGACTCTTACACTTTTGGGTTTAAGGAATTAGTGGAGCTGGGGGGTTTGTCACAGAATTACAGAATGGGTAAGGTTGGAACGGACCACAGGGGGTTATCAGGTCCAACCTCCCTGCTGAAGCAGGGTCATCTTGGAGCACATTGCACAGGATTGTGTCCAGACAGTTCCCGGATATGAGACTCCACAACCTCTCTGGGAAAGCTGTTCCAGTGCACGGTCCCTCACAGAGTAAAGAATTCTTCCTTGTATTCATGTGGAACATCCTGTGCATCAGTTTCTGCCCTTTGCCTCTTGTCCAATTGCCTGGGACATTTTGTGTCTTAGGACACACTGTGTTTCCAAACTTCATCTGCAGGCATTGTGGGGATGCTCTGCGTCCCACTTCCCTATTGCCACTGAGAGACAGTGCCCTTTGTGACATCCCTTCACAAGTTTTTTTTTTTCCTAAGCTCTACCTACTCAAGAGCTTCGTTTTGGAGCCTGCACTTGCTAGTGAGAGGAAGCAACCAGCACATGGGCCAGAGGAGGGCTGGGCTCTGCAAGGACTGGCACTTCAGTGAGTAGCATTTACCAGGCTCAGGGAGGGAAGAAAGGAAACAAGACTGGGGTGCTCAGTGAGGTGTGCTGAGAAGGTGCAAAGCTTAGGGGCAGTAAATGCCTTATGATTTGGGTTGTGTTAGGTATGGTGCATGGACTGCTGGGGTGTTAAAGCCGCTGTCATACAGCATCCTTATGGATGGGTACAAGACTGGGGTCAATTCCTTGCCTTGTGCAGTACTCTCCCCTTGTACATTCAAAGATTATATTCTCTGTATGTACAGCATTATTCAAGAGTTTATGCTGGGGTAGTTATCCACTGTTACTGTTAGGTCCTCACAAGAATCCAAGCCTTTGATCCATAAATACAATTTCTGTCATTGTTTCCTCCAAACCAATATCACATTAAGTATTTAAGTATTAAAATAATGCTAGGCTGGTATCTTTTAATAAAGCAATTTAAATTACTCTTATGGTAATCTGTCTTTATTATTTGCTAGCAAAAGAAACTTTTTTTATCAGCAGCAGACTTTGCCACAGATTTTGTATAATTCTCATAGCTATAAAACTAAAAACCAGTTTTGGCCCATGAGCTGAGACCTTTGGTACTCTGCTCACTGACACCACATTAATAACCATCAATAGCAACTCTTGGAGACTGGTCTGTAAACCAGTTTGTAAATCCAGCTCATTCTTTCTTAGGTCTGTACAATTTGGTACAAAGTCAAGTGTCTTAAAGAAATCCAGATATATTCTGTGAGCACAGTTACTTTATTAACAGAACTTACAGTCCTTCAAAAGGCAAGCAAAACATTATAAAGGTTTTTGACAGTAAGGATCTTCTGTGACACTGACACTTTCAGTGACACTGCTGACAATTCATAGGTCTTAACCTATGCAGGAAAGTTTATTTTAAATTAGAACATTTATAGCAGGACCATGCAATATAGCATTCTTATTCTTCTTAAGAATATTCTTCCTCAGACCAAGTATCAGTGGCACAATAAACCTTCAGTCACTTGCATTAATCTTGCTTTTATAGTAGCAACACAAGTTTAATCCTTTCTATCCTGCAATTACTGGGATCAGGATGGGACTGGTGGCTGGAGCTGGGAGCGTGACAGAGTGTGAAGTGGGGCTGTGACAAAGGGCTCTGCCAGGAGACATAGGCAGTGTGGAGAAGGACCAGGACCAGAAACAGACCCAGGCTTCTGGGAGCTGCTGCCAAACTGCAGCCGTGGTGATTATGTCATGTTTAAGGGTCTCTTCTGTGATGTCATGGGGCAGCTCTGAGAGCTTTTCTGTGGTCAGTGCGCTGCCTGCATCCTCCCTCCTCTTTTTCTTCCTTCTCCCTTCCTCTTTCCCCTAGATTCCCTACTCCAACTTTCTGCCTCCTGCTGACACCATTACTCTGCTCCCAGCAGCTCTAGCACTTTTTTCTCCCTACAAGATACACTCCCCATAGGTGTGTGGACAAGGTTTCAGAATGGCCAAATCACCTGCTATTTTTACAAAGAGAAATAGTAGTTGGGATGAACAAAGGGAGTAACTGCTTAATAGTCACCACAGTCTATGCTTGAATAACAGCTTTCTTATTCACTCTTGTGCTGCGAGTGTCCTCATGTTCTGGGAACTGAGGAGCAGCAAGTCTTGGATCAGAAGCGTCCTATTAAATAACAAGTCAATAACAGGCTCCCCTGAGCTTCTCAGTCATCAGATTCCAAGCCTGCACTAGCCAGATGTGAGAGACCACACCCGAGCAGAGGCCCCATGGTGATTATACACAAATAACACTGATTGATTGTAATGCCACAAAAATGAAACCTTTCTGTTGTGTCACAAGAGCAAGAGAAGTTCCTTTGCATATGAAATTAGATCTTCGGCAGATTTTTTTTCTGAACAGTTGCAATTTGCACCCATGCTGTCTTTTCCACACACACACAGAGGGAAGGGAAAAGCAGCCTTTCTGCAGCAGTATTTTCCACATCTCAGGACCTGCATGGGTACTTCTCTGACTTGAGGCAGGCTCTTAACGCATGTGATGAGAGGAAATGAGGAGCACTCCCTCCAAAGGAAAAGAAGCCTAAGCAAGGGTCCCATATCACTCAAGTAATTCAGCACACGTCCCTCTGACAAGTGGTTCTTAGAAAAAGGCCACCAGGAGCCTTGTTTTGATGGCTTTTGAGCTCCCTAGCATGGACATCCCTGTGGGTAGTTTCTCACAGCTTTGATTTGCTGAATTGTTGTCTTTACATCTGGTAACACTGTCCGATTCTGAAACTTTTATTTCACTTTTCACCTGAGAGAACAATCCCTTAGGGGGAATAGTACATGAAGATGGGCAGATGCATGGTGGGAAGTTAACATTTGTAGCAAATATTTAACTTCACGCCTGGAAAACTAGACTGGTTTATAGGCGGCTTTGTTTATTCTTCTGCAGAAGGGTTGTTGCCTGCCAGACTTCTCAAAGGAGGTGTTCAGCAGGCCCACGCATGTTTGTGTTGGCAGTGTTTATCTAAACCTTTGACAGAATAGAAAATATAATTTGTCATTTTACTGTATAGTATGTGCAGACATTGAATACAGAGTGGAAGAAATATTCCCCTGTCATAATATGTCCCTGTCAGAATTAATGTCAAAACTGTTTGTCTGGTTCTACTAAAAGAATCAACATTGTAACTTCAGTTATTTTTAAAAGATATCTCTGAGTATATCTGGCCTCAGCAGTCATGAGACAACACATTTAGGCCTTTAGAGTTGACTTAGGTTATTTGGAAACTCAAAAATACAGTCAGGGGCTCTGCACACATCGTCTGTACCTCTCCTCTAGAAACTAAACAGCAGTGAGCTTTATAAAGGCATCTGTGTGTAAATACTCTTAAAAGTATTTATAAACAATTTTTAAAGCCATTTAATGCTGAAAATATCATCGGTGAGAGACCCACAATCAGTAGGTCACCAAATTACAAGCCCACCTGAAAGGCAGGCAAAATTCCAAGTAAGTTCTGCCGTTGAAAGCACATCTATCTTTGGTATCATCAAGTATAAAATGTAGCTCTTTGGCATGAATTTATATGCCTGTTCTTTTTCTGCACAGAAAAAAAAGATGTTAACATTTTGACCACAAGCTTCTTAAAACATGTATTTTATGCTCTGGAGCCAGAGCAATTCTAGGATACTGCACAGATTCCTAATGAGGCTGGTATTCTTGCCATATCACGTGGCTAGAAAATGTATGAACATTTATGTACTTCAACCTTTATAATTTTAATAATTAATTTACTGATTACTCTTTTCAAATGTTATCGTTGTAATAAATATTTTGTATCACAGAATAACAGACTAGCTGAGGTTGGAAGGGACCTCTGGAGGTCATCTGGTTCAAGCCCCCTGCTCAAGCAAAGCCACCTAGTTGACTGTGTCCAGGCACCTTTTGAGTATCTCCAAATATGGAGACTCCACAACCTTGCTGGACATCCTGTGCCAGTGCTCAGTCACCCTCATAGTAAAACCAAAATTGTTTCCTGATGTTCAGATGGAGCCTCCTGCATTTCAGTTTGTGCCCACTGCCTTTGGTCCCGTCACTGGGCTCTGCTGTCTCTGTCTTCTTTGCACCCTCCCTTCAGGCATTTGAACTAGTAAGATCCACCGTCCATACCTTCTCTTCTCCAGGCTAAATAGTCCCACCTCTTAGCCTTTCCTCACAGGAGAAAGGCTCCAGTTCCTTCATCTTTGTGGCTCTTTGTTGGACTCTCCCTAGTATGTCCAGGTCTCCCTTGTAGGGAGCCCAGAACTGCACCCAAGACTCCAGATGTGGCCTCACACCTGGCCTTCTGAGTAGGAGAAAATAATCACCACTCTCAGCCTGCTGGCAATACTTTATCTAACACAGACCAGGATACCACTTGCCTTCTTCATGGCAAGGACTTGTTGCTGGC